GAGGGAAGTCTGGGCATCTTTGCTTAGACTGCTGCCCCCGTGACCCGGTTCTGGATAAGCGGAGGAAAATGGATGGATGGATGTTTAGTTTTAGCACCATGAAGTCCTCGAACACATGCAGACAACAAACTGTCAAACACAACAAGCTCACTGTGACAAGATGCATTAAAAGTATCAGTACTTTAATATTTAGATTATGAACTATGGTCGTGAGAATGGACCGTTTTTGGGGTGTTTTTTTTATTTTTTTATATTTGCACTGATCAGATGTGGCACATGTAATTTCATTGTGCTTATGTATAATGACAAAGTATTAATCCACTCATTCACTAATCAGACAGTCAAATGCTTAAATAGGTTATGTTTAAAGAAGAGTGACTATCTCTTATTAAAGCTGTGGAGTTACAGAGCAGTACTTCAGTTTGCCACTAGAGGTCAGCAGAGACCAACAGCTGAGAGAGGAGCTGCGCTCTGACCGAACCAAACCATCCTCTGTGATTAGCAGACAAGCTGTTCTACCGGTTTATACGTGTAGTTTGTTTTAAATCTGTGCTGTCACAGTTTCATTTCTAAAACAGCGACCACACAGACGACAGACACCGCGCTGAGGGCCACGCTCCGGCTCTCAGACCTGTGTCCGTCCTCCCTCATCTAGCAGCACATCTGTTCAAGAGTGTAAAAGATTTCTCTGAGGCAACGCTTAGGGACTCTGGGGGTGTAGCAGGTTTTAAACTCATCTTCTCAGTTGTCTTCTTTTTTCTCCAGTCTTGTTTCCTCGTTTGCTTTCCTTAGGCCATCCTCTCATCACCCCTAGTCTTCCCTTCTTCTCCTCTGACTTTCCTTTTCTGTTACCTTGTCTTCTTTCCTTCTCTTCCTCTTGCTGTTTCCACCTTTTTCCTCACCTGTCTCCTCTCCTCTCATTGTTTCCTTGTTTTCTCTCCTCATCACACAATCACCTCTTCCTCGTCTTCCTTTGTGGTCTCTCTTCTTCTTCGCTGTGTCTGGATATTTAATCCCCGTACACCAATGAATGTTTGTACATTAATTTAAGGCCCTTTATCCCACAGTGCCTCGGGCTAGTCTTTACCATTTTCTCAATCTTGACATAAAAAGGAGTTCAGTCCACATTAGCACAGTGATGTGGAGACGCTGCGCCCACAGGGACGTTTCCACTGCCGATGTACACGGCATCAGGAATGTATTTGTAATGTTAATGAGATCAGAAAGGTTCACGCTGCGTGTTTCATAATATGAATGAGCTAAAAGCTTTTAATCTTTTTGGTCCAGCTCGTATGAATCCGCCCACTCGGCTGCCATTAACAATGTTGCTGGAGGAGCTGTGAGCCCACACACGTACAGGGCTGTGTGTGTGTGTGTGTGTGTGTGTGTGTATGTGTGTGTGTGTTGGCTGCTGCTCTACATACTCGCACTCCTGTTTCTGTGACCCGTCCTAGTATATATTTATTCTTGTATGCTGAGAAGTTGTGGGAGACTCGGAGCATCAGCCTGAACAGCTGTGTGTGTGTGTGTGTGTGTGTGTGTGTGTGTGTGTGTGTGTGTGTGTGTGTTCACACATCTGTTTTATGTTTTTGCTGATTGACTTCCTAAAGCCATGATTATTAGAAAAAAGAAAAGAGGTTCCCAGACAAAAGCCAGTTTGCTCTGTGATTTATAGGCCCACACCAAAGCTGAGCGCACTAAGAACCAGGGCGCGTCCAAGCTCTGTCCAACACGGCCCTGTTTAGAAAGTAACTGGTGGAAAGTAACTAAGTACATTTACTCAAGCACTGTACTTAATTACAGTTTGGAGGAATCTATACTTGAGTATGTTCGTTCAGTTTTACTGCATTTCAAAGAAAAATGAACAACATACTCTACATTTATTTGATAATTTGATTTACTTTACAGAAAGAGGTAAATAAAATAAAGTATAACCACAAGCTTTATGGAATATTTATTAAAATTCACAAGCTACCCAGCAGAAATTCAAACTCTAAGCATATAAAACTAGCGCTGCTTTTACAAGCTGTGACATTAAATGTGATGTACCCAGTAATTATCAATAATTATCAAATAACATGATGTACTTCGATGTAAACTGTCATTTTGCATAATTTGCACTTTCACGTTTGGTACTGTCTATTTCCTGCTAATACTTTTGTACTTTAACATCTTGACTTACTTGTAATGGAGTGATTTTCCACTGTTATTGCTGCTGTTGAGTAAACTGTGCTTCTACCGCTGGTCAGAACAGGTGCACGAGTGAAGGAGATGCAGCGGGACTACGCACGATGCGTCTGCGTCTCTTTGTGGTCGATTGGAGCGTCTCTGTCGTAAGTAATCTACCAAGAGTGTGAAGTTTTTGTATCTGTCCCTCTTCACACGTCCACTCAGAGCTGGGCCTGGTTTGACCAGATGTTTATTTTGGTGCATCTGTCTTCACTGGCTCCGCCATCATCGACGTCACTGCACCTTGTCCAGATCAATGCTGTGGCTGAGCTTTGCACACAGGTCTAATGCAGAGTGTCAGAGCTTCAGTACTGTGTTACTGCATGTTCAAAGAACGAGGGACTGATGGATGATTTGATGACGCACGTTTTTACCGCTCAGCTGTCTGAGGTGTTAGTTTGTCCTGGACTCTGAAGGCCAAGCCGTCACCTTCCCAACCCCCTACTGCCCTCCTGAAGCGACTCCCCAGTGATGTCACATGAACTCTGTGACCGTCTGTGCGCCTATGACTCACTGAAGTGTCCTCGGCAGATCCACACCTGAACGTCGGAGGGTGAAGCACAGCGCAGACTGGCTCCATGTGTTATGGGGATTTTTGAGAATCGGTTCTGGATCCACACACTCACAGTGAGTCACTGAAGGAGGGGGCCCTGCTGGACTGAAGTCACTCTAACCCAGATGTGTGAACACTTGTTGCTTCTCAAGTGTTACAGAAATACTTTGCCTGCTTCAACACGTCTCTGAGCTAAGTAGGCAAAGTGCTGCCAAAACGTCATTTATAAAGCATAACTTAAGATAGAGATTTAATTCCTGTGTGGCCTGTTTCCATGTGTTTACACTAGAAGATGACTGAGGTTTCATCCCACACCTTCTCTAAGGACGTAAAGAATCGCAGCAGAGCTCCTCAGTCCAGCTGTGCGATCCAGCAGACTGATGTCTCATAACGAGCTTCAGCTTTACGTCATTAAATACCATGTACTTGAATCATACTTGGAAATGAAGCATAATGTGGAGAAAACATGAATTCGGATAGGAATGTTTAAATTGGCTGTTTCAGATAATGACATCTTTGTGGCTCCATCGGCTTCTGGTTCGTTAACCGGCTCAGTTTGCTTCATTTAGTTGCGACAGTCTGAGTTTCAATCTGCTCTGACTGTTGCTTGTTTTCTTCGTGCTTGATTTATCTTATATTTTGCTTTTTCATGTGCTGATTAAATGTAGAAAAACATGGCATCGTGTCAAAAAACTGGCCTCTTACATTCCTAGTTGGGCCTGTTTGTTGTACTTTTCATGGTAGCTGTGTTTTGGCTGAGCTAATTAATCCCAGTAAACAGCAGAAACTCTG